CCCCCCTCCCCATGTCTCACTTACCTGATCTGTAGGCTGTCTCTGGCTGCATGTGCTGCTCCTCTGCGATCCTTGATAGGTGGAATTAATATGATACAATCTTATATCCTACCCAAGTGGAATTATATTTTTAGAATGATACCAGTACAAGTCCCCCTAGCATGGTTAAAAATGATAAAGACAGTTTTCTCAAAGTTCATCTGGAAGGGGAAGAAACCAAGAATAAACCTAAAAATACTATCAAAGAAAACAAAAGAGAGTGTAAGCAGTTCCAAATATAATAGATTGTCATAATGCCTGTATGCTGGTGCATGCCATCACTACTCCAAGAGAATCTATTAAAGAGGAAGCCTGGAAGCCAGATAGTCAGAAATGGTAGGAGTTGATAATGTTTTAGTAATATTATGGACAATAGGTAGAACTGAAAATAGTAAAGCTGCTCTGGTAATTATTTAGTTATAAGTAATATCTTAAAAGGTATGGCATAGATTTAAAATAGCTTACAAGGTAGAAAATTTTGTGCTAATAAATGTGGTTCCAGGAAGTATTAAAGATGTTAACATTAAAAACTGGCAGAATGCTGGAATTCAGACTGTTAAAGATTGTATATTAAAATCAGAAATTACGCCTTTTAACCAGCTACAAGAGGAGTTTGAACTCTCAAGTAAAGAGATCTTTACATACTTAAGAATTAAAAAGTTTTAGGGAAAACATCTAGAATTAAATTTTGAAAAGAATAATAAAAGTTTTAAAATATTATCATTAATTTAAATTGAGAGGAAAGATATCTAGGTGTATGGCTGTAGTAAAAAAATCAAAGCAGGATAACAGTTTGTATCCCAAGAAGTTATGGGGAAAAGATTTTAATATAGAGATTTTAAATGAAGACTGGATTTTGGCTACAATTAATGTTAACAGAATGGTACACTGTTTAAATATTGTAGATAATTTTTGCAAACTAATAAATAGATGGTACCTGGTCCTAAAAAACGCTCAAAAATATATAAAGATATAAGATATACAACATGTGTATAATATACGCAAAGGGGTTACAAGTCAATGTGTTTCCAATCATTTTAAGGAGATACACAACCAATACCCTTCAGGTCTTTCGTTTATGGGTATTAAAAGAGTATTTAAAGATTAGAGAGGGGAGACTGCATCAAACGAATCGGTCACTAAGAGATGAGATGGGTATACTACATGGATACACTGGCCATGCAGGACTGAACATTGATTTTGACCTTTTCAATTTCCTGTAACGTTATTTTTAGTCCAGCCTTTTTAATTATTTTTTTTTCTTTATTTGATTAGTTCTCCTCCCTTCTATCTTTTGCACTTTAACAAATTTTGCTCTTTTATTTTCAGTAGAACTTTGGGGTTTATTTTAGATATTGTCTGTTATTTTATGACGTGTTTAGAAGAACATATAATTCCTACCTCATGTATATAGGAGTAAAATGTGGGGACTGATTTTAAGTATTGTATGCATTTAATAGATTGCCCCTTTGGGAAGTATATAATTTCTATCCCATAGGTACATGTTCTTATTGCACCTTAATGGGCATAATGTTATGTCTAACATAGTGAGTTTTTAACTACATGATTAAGTCTTTCTGGGCACTACTCCTCTTTTTATTTACACTTACACATTTATAATAATTGTGGTATAGCTAAGTGGCAGACCATGAGTATTTTTATTTATGTTTGTTGCCAGTAATGTTGATTTTTACGGACATAATGTCCTAACCACACAGGGTTAATAAGTAATTTTGTTCCGGCGTAATTGCTACACAATGGACTATACATGCGGTGGGACCGCTCATTGCATGGACACTATTTAAGAGATGCTGAGAGCCGACTTTACTTACGCTTGAGAAAGCCCCGAGAGGCGGGGCGAACCGCGTTGCGTAGACCGGAACCCGGAAGTGACTGCGCTGAAGGAGAGAGTTGCCGACAAGCCAGGACGCAGAGGAGGATAGAACTTTAACTACGGTTTATCCTTGTCGATATCTGGACTTATTGGACTCATACACATATATCAGCAGCAGCAGTGGTATTTTTTTACACATTGTTTTTAGATTGTGTTACAATAAATGGAATGTTTTTTTCTACACCTGGCCGGTCATGGAGTGAGTGCTTTCAGCTGATCACCAGTTGGATCCAATGTTCACAAGGCTGATCCTCCTGGAACCTGATAGTCTGGAGTGGTGCTACAACCACTCCACAATTGTGAGTTTGGAACTTTTCTCTTTATTTTATTATTTACGCTTAAACAATGCTGCACTAGGTCTGTGTCTTTTTATTGTAGATTGGACTGCCTGAACAGACCTGTGCAAGTATATAACTAATTATTGGTTACTTATATCTGTCTGCACGGTTATAGTGTATATTTGGGGATTATCTATTGCATGCATTTGCATTTTTATACATCCTTGCATGGCACTTTGCATGCTTTGTACTATATACTGCTTATAACCCAGCCAGGTTGGCTGTCCTTTACATTTATTTTGCGCACCTACTTTTCACTGTTTGATATAAAGATATATGCCTTTCACTCCACATTATCTAATATAGTATAGATTGTCTAAAAGTCTCAGAGGTATGAATGAGTATAGAGGGAAGAAGATAGGCAATAGTAGAAATGGTCAGAAGGCTGAGAAAGAAGCAGGAAACACAGGAGGAGAGGGAAAGACCATAAAATGAATACGAATTGATAACCCTTAAGGGTGGATGTATGTTTGTAATCTGTAATGTTTGTATTTTTATGTATTTAAATGTTTCATAAAATTTGAACATATGTTAACCAATGTAAGAAATTTGAAAGAAAAAAAAAGTAAATAATATTTAAAAAAACCACTCACAGAGTTGTCCCCAGTATCTAGCATATAAAAGTGTTAGAAAAGATAAAAGCTGGTTGTCTGTAGTGTCCCTTTTGTCCTTCAACCCCATTATTTTTTATGTTTTTTTATGTTTTGATCTATATAAACCATGTCTTCACCATTTCCCCTCATTCCTTCTGGAATTTAAACAGGATTCAGTCTGGTTGCTTTTTTATATTTATCTAAATGGGTACCTTTGTTTCCAGTTGAGGTTTGTTTATAAAAAATTATTTTCTTTCTCTTTACCATTCCCACAGAAAGGTTATTGATAGCTGAATCTAGTATATTATATATTTCCACTATGCTATTTCAGTTGTATTATAAGTTACATATTGCACTATTTGTTGTTCTTTCTTTTTTTGCTTTGAGGTAAAATAATCGATCAAATGTAAATATATACATTTATACTAACACAAGGGTGTTGTATACTTACACTATACCTTTTGGGCGCGGTTTGTCACATTGTTTGTTACAGTGATGTATTTTGTCCTCCAGTCAAAGTGGTATGCCTGTTGGAGTGACACTTTATTGCTATGGGGAAAACATATTGAAATGATATGGGTTTTACTAAATTATTTTTATAATCAGAAATGCGTCCATGCAAGATGTTTAGAAATGTAGGGATGGGCACCTCTGATTTGATTAGCATTAGGAGGATATAATCTGTGAATAGTGACAATTTTTGGGATTCAGAGCTATGCTAATATCTGACTTTAAAGGGGATGACAAGATCTTATAAACCAGAGGATCCAAAGGTAATAAAGGTAATAATATTCTGGCAGAGGGAGAAGAGTATAATACAAGCACAGTGTTTTCTGAGTGCTTGTTTCATCCCATTGTACAGCGCTATGGAATTTGCTGGCGCTATATAAATAATAAAATAATAATAATAATGTAAGGCCAAATGAGCCAGTCAAAGGACTTTTCAGCACCCAACACCTTGAGTGTACTGAGAATACAGTGTCTTTGTATGATTTCTATGAGGTCAAAAACCATTCTAGTGTTATCAGAGACCTTCCTTTGGTGGATAATACCTGCTTGTTCCTGGGATACCAAAGAAGGCAGTAATGGGCTTATCCTTAAGGCTAGTACTTTTGCATAAAGTTTGGCATCTTTATTAAGCAGGGTCAGGTCACAAAATGGCGCAAGATGTGGGTGGTTTACCAGACTTGGGCAGGGTGATGATGTGGGCTGTTAATATAGCTTACGGGAAAAATCCCTGAGTTCTTGAAGGAGTTGTAGAGATTAGTGAGATGGAACACTAGTCTCTCACTGAAGGTCTTATAGTATAGGTGTGTGAGAGCGTTTGTGTGCTGGGAAGGATGCAAAGGCTTTATCAATTTCATGTTCTGTAAATGGGAATTCAAGCTGAGAGGTTTGGTTGGGGTCATTTGAGAGAGACACCTGCTAAAAAGTTCTCAATTTCTTGCATGCAGGGGGAGTAAGTAATTTTCTAGATTGTACAAGGATCTGTAGAATATTGTGAATGCCTCTACTCTTTTGGCAGGGTTTGTAAGTTTTGTGCTGTTTTGATTGTGTATGAAGGAGATTTTAGATTGGGCATGTTGTGCGTGTAATTTATTTGACAAAAATCTACCAATTCTATTCCCTTTGGTGTACCAGAGTAGTTTCAGTTTTCTGTGATGCCTTTTGATGTGTTGAAGTTGCAAGGCCTGACAGCAGTTGCAAGCTTTCTTTATTTGCACCCTTATTCAACAGGATGGGTTGCTTTATTTTTTACTCTATGTTTTTGTAGTTTGAACATCAGTTCCTGATATTCCACTGTCCACGTCTTCTTTTGACTTGAACTTAATTGCATAAAGAGACCTCTAATGCAGGCTTTGTGAGCCAGCCAGGTGGTGGACAGTAATATGTTTTTGTAAATGTTGAACGAGAAGCAATCTGTTAAACCTTGGGATATTATTTCTTTGATGTTTGCCATTTTTAGTAGATACTCACTCAGCCACCATTAACCCAATCCTATGACCTGGTAGTAAGCTATAAAGGAAGTCATTGTCAGGATGTTATCAGACCATATAATCAGTCCGATTATTTCTTCAGACATGCAGTGCCAGCGCACCAACTCCAATCAAATGTGAACTGGAGACAGTCAGGCAGTCACTCTTTTCCATGTGGGTACAACCTAAGGGAGCTGGTGTCTGTTGTCAATGGCAATTTCCATGACCGGAGTGTCTGGAGCCCTTCCTTGGGTGGTGTACCCCCACCTATACAAAACGTGATGGGCGTATAGATGTTTTGTGACCTTTTTGAAACATTGTTATACAGAGACATTTCTGTGAATGGCTCAGACAGGGATCGAAGCTTCCAAACAGTCAACATAACTGCCTTTTTGGAGAAGTAACAGTGCAGCCAGGCAATGACATCTTGAGAAGCATGATCTTTGCCATCTGATGGGCCCTGTATAGCATCCATTGGGCATCCAGCAGACTCAGGAAGATCACTCTGAAGATGCCAGCAGGTAGACAGGGAGTTCTCCCTGATCCACACTCTTGGGAAAATGAAACCTACTTTTCATGAAAGCAGTGTGAGTCACAGATGGAGAGTTATGACTAGTGCTGCATAAACAAAGTGGGTTTAACTTCTAAATGACAGAGAATTTAGCACTGCCACTACACAAGCATGATCTAGTGAGATAGTTGGTGAGATAGCTCAGTTGACTAATGCATCATCAATAGAATTGGGTTGCAGGTTCAAATCTGGCAGTGTTAACTCAGCCCTTCATCCTTCTGAGGTAGATAGAATAAGTACCATTAAATTGGGTAATGGTAACAACAACCCCTGGATGTTGGGCTAAGGTCATATCCCCAGTATGTGCTTGAAAACCATAGTAATCTGAATGTACCTTTCCTGGTTAAATACTTTGCTATTATTATCATCTTAAGCCAAAACTGATATATTAAAGTTGCTTTGGTGCTTATAGTGTCCCTTTTTTCACCTTCCCTTATTTGCATTATGTGTCTTGTAAGTTATTGACTGAGTAATGATTATGAGTTAAAATTCAATAATCTCTCACTCTGTTAAAAGCTGCCTAAAGTGTCAACTCAATTTTATTCATGCATTTCCCAGGAATTGGGAATTTTTACACTAAAATCATTCTTACCTTAGCATTTACAGAGCATAATTCTATTAAACCAGGAGAATTTGTCTGTTGATTATTATAATGTGTTTATTTAACCACTTTTAAAACTTTACAATTGCAACACTTTAATGTACACTACATAGTGACCTTCAATGTCATTTTCCTCTTATCTCTGATTCACTTCTGGCCTTTCCTTTCACTTCAAAAGACCTTTATCTTTCCCAAGTATGTAATCTGATCCAGAATGTCTTTCTTTAAATAGTAACAAGATTCAATGTGAAGGAGAAGGCAATGCAGAAAAGAGAAGATGCCAGTTCCTACCAAAGAGAAGTATAGACATTTGGTCATCAGCCATATATTTCTTCCTCTGAGTGTGCTTTCTAACTGAAAAGTAAAACATTTAAAACAAAATGAAAACGCTTTGTTTGCTATAAATTAACTGCAATAATTTAAAAATAATGCAAAATTCTACATAATTCCTATAATACAGCACACAGATTAGTAATATCCCTCTATAGCAGTGATTCCCAATGTATTTAGGGCAAAGGCACACTTCAATGAGAGACACATTTCCAGGGAATCCCAACTTTCTTTAAAATGTTTCCATCCTCAGTAGTTTATAAAATATACTTGAAGGCTTGCTTGTTAGATATGCATTCCTAAAACCAAAATAACATATTAGTTTTAATTCATTGTCAGATGGGAATCAATTTTGATGCCGACACTTTATTTTTTTATTTATTTAAGGACTGCATTAAATCTGTTACAGGCCTGAGGTCAGTGCCAAACAACAGACATGAAACTTATCAAAAATAATAAAAGTTACCTTATCAAAAGAAGAAATTAGCGTAACCTCATCAATAAAACAGACTTCATAAAGAAATATTTTGTACTTCAATCCTAGACATTTTTAGCTGTCATTGCCAGTGGATTATATTAAAGACATTGGTAGCTAGTGGCAACCAATACAAAGGGCTTCATTTAGCAGGCACACTTACAGAGCTGCCTGCAAGTGAAGAAGAAAAGTGTGCTGATGAAAGATGTAATTGTTGCACTAACTAACATTAGTAAGCCAGGAACATAGTTCTGGGCTGTATAAATCATGTGTGGGGTTGTAAATATACCCTGGCACAAATATACAGATTTCCCAGAACTAAATGTATCTTTTACAATCACTTTTTCCAGAAATAGTTTCCTATTGAAATTTGCCATACAATAATAAACATTAGAAAACAAACCAAGTTAGCAGTCACTTAATATTACACACTAATACAAATATCAAAGAGACAATAAAAAAGGAGTAAGATTATCAGTCATGCTAAAAACCCGGCATCCTTTCTCCAAGCAATAAAAAAAAATGATATATAAGAATAACTCAATAAACAAGAGAGAAAATAAGAAACAAATTGCACATCCTTATCAAATTGCTGCGGCTTGCCATATAGAAGAGAAATGATTGTAAATAAAGAAAACATGGAGCCAGTTTAAAAAAAAAAAAAATGCTCCAGCATTGTGGACAGGTCATTGCACCTTTATTAGTATGAAAAAGCTCAGCATAAGGAACTGCACCAAGGAGGGGGGGAGGGGGTGCAAAGCCTAAAGCACTTCAGATACAAAGGTCATTACTCAACACATGAAATTCCTGTTAGACTTTGGCTCCCCCATGTGGTGCAGTTCTCATCCAAGGTTGTTGAAACTAATAAAGTTGCAAAGATTTGTGTACAAAAACTAAAAAGAAGTATGTGCAAGACCAAAGTGGGATCCCTTGCAAGAATGCTCAGTGTTTTCTAACATCAGAGTTTAGATAATATGTTCCACCGAGGTTGGGACACATTATCTATACTCTGATGTTAGGAGATGCCATAATGCTGCATTCTGTTACAAATATGCAACTGATTACTCGCTGAATAGGGAGCATATTTTTGGGGAAAGCAAAAATCTTGGATGAAAATTTGATTTGGAGAAGATACAGTACTGGGCTTACACATTTAAGCTATAAGATGATAATGACTGGTAGACAGGCACTAGAGGCAGAATTAACCCTGAAGTGTAAACATTTCAGTTTCTTAGAAACTGCAATGTTTGCAGCTACAGGGCTAAAATGACAGGGACAATGTACCCAGACTACTTCAATGAAATGAGGTGCATATACTGTCCCTTTAATGTAACAATTTAAGTTAATCAGGGGCGTTATCCAGAGATCTATTTTGTCTCCAATGAATTGTTAGCAAGGAGTTCGCTGAAATATTGGGTAACAAACAATACATCCAATTGCATAATTTCTAACCAGAGGCAGATCTCCAATTAGGTGATTTAGGCACTCACCTAAAAAGGCTCTCTGGGGCATCATGGCTAATTACTTGGCCTTAAGGGAGACTGAACTATCCGGCCCTTGATCTGTGACCGAGGGTCTGACACCAGGAAGAGGCCTGGTTGCTTGTCCTGTGTGCTGTTGTGTGTGTGGGCCCCTCAACGTAGTGGGTCCAGAGAGAGAGACCAGTGGTATTGGTCTGCAGCTCTGCCAGCTTGCAGACCTTAAAGTAGCTGTCAATGAGATCTGGCCACAACAATGCTCTAACAGTTCAAGTGCCAGAGCTCGCGAGACAACTACCTCATGGTCTTTCTGCATCGGGCACATCTGCAGACCACATAGCTAGCCCACTGGACCACCAATAGAATACTGCATTAAAAAAGGTATTTCAGTATGGTCAGCAGACTGTATACAGTAGAAAACCTAAATAATAAGTATGAGTGAAACAATAAGTTAATTTTACAGAAAAAAGGGGTGCAGGGATTAAATATATTAAAACAGCTTGGAATCTAAAATCAAGGAATATCATTTTTTTAAATTGTAATGATGCAAAATATGCAGCAGAAAATTTTGATTTCATGGATATACAGTATTTACTAAAATGTATACAGTAGGTTATGATAGCATCAAAGTATTATTTTAATTATGTCCAGAGTGCACAGTAGCTGACAGGTTCTATGAGGTATAACATGGATTGTAATAGGGAGATGAATTAAATAACGTCCCTAAAGAATTTAATTAATTCCTGTTTTAGAGAACATTTTGTTAAATGACAATAGACTTGGGTAAAGTCTGAAGTAAAACTGAGTGTAAGATCTCACATTTTACAGCTTGATCTTGATAAAGAATCAGGAGGGTCGGAATGTTGATGTAATTTTAATATGCTTTTGGAAAATTCCCAGCTCCTGTTTTTACTTTTGCGTGTTTGGCATTGGGAAGCACCCAGTTTCGGATTTCTTTGATTTATTGTTTTGGATTGAGTGCCGGAGCCTGGACTTTTTCACATTTGACGTGCTGTTACTACTGCAAAGGATTCTGGATTCTATCTTTCTATTGAGATATTATATATATATATATATATATATATATATATATATATCCAAGAGGCAACACACATGCTGATTATGTAGATCAATATTGGTGTTGGAGAAGAATAATAAATACTGGCATTTCCTCTTCAGAAATCTAAACAAAATTAAAGTAATAGTGCCTTTCTGAGTTGGATATATGGAAGGTACAATTAGGTTTTACTTCACAATAGTTTGTAATATTTTTTGCCACAACATTTGTCGAGTTGGTTATTATGATGAGGCGTAAAAGTGATTTGAGGGTAATAACAAATGAAGGATATTGTATCTTTAGACAAGATGGAGAAGAAGAAAATATGTTCACTTTACATGGAAAGAGATAACTTTTTAAAATTAATTTAGGAATTAAACTGTTTGAGACTTCCTCCCTCTGTTTCAAAACACCTTTGGTCTCATTAGAATAAGTTTATTAATGTGGAATAATCATTAATACATAGGAGGTAAAACAAAAATTATATAAAGAATGGGACATAATCAGCAAAACTTGACTGGTATTTTGAAATAAATACTTAAACAGAAAATAAATATAAACATTATAAAATTGTTTGTAATTGTCTCATCTGGATTCACACTTGATGTTATGAATTGACTTTTTTTATTTGTATTGTAATTTCACCATTTTTTAGTGTTTTGTTTATTAAATACAGTATTATGATCAATTAGAGGTGCTAGAATATTCTTCAGGTCTACACCATAAACTTACAGTGCAATATATAATGCATTCATTTACCACTCTCTGTATATCAAACCACTTTTATTTCTATATTTTTATTTCTCTAATATCCTTTGGCTTTACCATTGCTCATGTCACAGAAAACAAAAAGAACTGTCATTCACAAAATATTATGCTCTCAGGTTGGTTAGCTTCTCCTTTCTTATTCTGAAGGTAATAATTCTTTACCCTGACATATAATTCAATGTTCCCTATACACTG